TCCACAGAGCCACTACTGCTGCCCTCGCCGCCGCCGCTGCCGTTGCCATTGCCATCACCACCATCACTGCCACCACCATTGCTGCCACAGGTGCTTCTTGGGTCCCTGGCACATGGATCATCACTGCCGTCGCCAGCATAATCACCACCGTCGCTGCCATCGCCAGCATAATCACCACCGTCGCTGTCATCGCCAGCATAATCACCACCGTCGCTGCCATCGCCAGCATAATCACCACCGTCGCTGCCATCGCCAGCATAATCACCACCGTCGCTGCCATCGCCAGCATAATCACCACCGTCGCTGCCATCGCCAGCATAATCACCGCCGTCGCTGCCATCGCCAGCATAATCACCGCCGTCGCTGCCATCGCCAGCATAATCACCGCCGCCGCTGCCAACGCCAGCATAATCGCCACCGCCGCTGCCATCGCCAGCATAATCACCACCGTCGTTACCATCGCCAGCATAATTGATGTAGAGGCGTGTCCTCTAGTTTGCAGGAACTAGGAATTGTTCTAAGCAGTAGAGCACACTCTTGGCTTTCCAAGGAGCCGTAGAACACGTAATTCGCCCAAGTATCGGCTGAGATACGGCTTTCAACGTGCTAGGTAGTGCTCTAAGATTGAAGGATAGAAAGTCTCTGGATTTTGTGTCGAGTTGAACTGTGTATAGAAAACTCTGATTTTCAGTATATCATGCATACAAAGCAATCACAATATATAGCTACTCAAAACATCGAGTCGCGCATGTAACATACGAGATGCATCGAGAACATTCGCGTAACAATTCGAAGGGGTGAAATTCGGCACCCGAATTTCACCGAACCGAATTCTTCCTTAGTCTCGATCCTTCTTGTGTTGCCATGTGGCACCAATTGAGTGGGTCTTCCGAAGTCAACCCACACACTTCGTGAAACCTGCAGCTCTCTCAAGCGGTGAGCACCGAAACACATTCGGTGGGTTGGGGGCATATCAATTGCCCCACCACCGTTTGCTTCTAACTCACGCGACCTCCAACACTCCCCCTTGCACCCAACCCACTAGGTGTGCAATCCAACATGCTCGTAGCATGCACGGGACGGATCTTTAGGGGGTAGTTCCATGAGAGGATCCATGTGTTCATCATCACCCATGGTTGCGAAGCAAAATGCCACCCCCTCCTTATCCGACTTCCCAACGGCTACCGTAGCATAGTCGGCGTACTTGGAGGGAGGACGAACCTCACGACGCTCGCGGGTCAAGGCCAATGGTAGGGAGGAAGGTGTGGAGGTAGTTGCCGCCTCGGTAGGTGACACTTCCACGACATCATCAACGCTCTCCTCGTTGTTCTCTCCCCCTCCATCGGCTTCCTTCTCCACTTGAGGTGGAGTCTCACTCTCTTCAACCTCCTCTTGTGGCGGAAGGATGAAAGTGAGTTGTTGAGTGGGTTTCTCCTTCGACGGGAACTTGTCTTCATCGAAGACCACGTCCCGAGACGTGACGACACGCTTTTCACCCAAGTCCCACACTCGCCATGCACGCTCGTTTGGCGCAACTCCCAAGAAGATCGCCGCACGAGCTTTTGGTTGCAACTTGTGGCGAAGAGGATCCGGTATATGGTAGTAGCAAAGGCACCCAAAGGTGCGTAGGCGGGATAGGTTCGGCTTCGTTCCGGTCCATGCTTCGAACGGATTCATTCCCGGTAGCACCTTTGTCGGCACACGATTACGAATCCATGCCGCTAGCGCACTCGCCTCTCCCCACCACTCGTTCCCAAGCTTGGAGTGTTGAAGTAGTGAACAAACGGCTTCCACCAACGTGCGATTAAGCCGCTCCGCCGCTCCATTTTGTTGGGGTGTGTAGGGTGTCGTGACGTCGTGCTTTATGCCCTTGCTCTTCATCCATTTCTCAAGCTCCGCGTTCACGAATTCGCCCCCACCGTCGGTGCGAATACACTTGATCCGCTTCTTGTCGTCGTCGCAAACATCGAGCGCCCACTCTTGAATCGCCTTGGCCGCATCTCCCTTAGCCTTCAAGAGTCGGGTCCAACACATCCGCGTCGCGTCGTCGAGCATCACCAAGAGGAACCACGCTCCTCCCTTTGATGCATGTCGCATCGGTCCACACACGTCCATGTGAACAAGCGCAAGCGGGTCCTTAGCGAGGGGTGACGTTCGGCTACCAAATGGCTTGCGAGCCATTTTTCCTTCGACACACGCCGCGCACACGCCCTTCTCGTCGTCGCCGGCGATCACGTCAAGTCCCTTCGCAAGTCCTTTGTTGGCCAACTCCTTGACCGAGTCGTAATTGGCGTGCGCAAGTCGATCATGCCACGCCTTAAGAGTTGCCTTGGAGCCTTGCGCCACGTTCGATGAAGCCACTCTTGGGTACGTCTTGAGTTGGTAGATATCTCCATTGAGAACCCCTTGCGCGAATTGCTCCCCCTTCCAAAAGAGGTTCATCTTCGCACCGTCGATGGTGGCGATCACGCCCTTCTTCGCCAGTTGCGGGACGGATAGAAGGTTCACCTTCACCCCCGGGACGTGAAGCACGTTCGTGACGTCCACCGGTCCGCTATCGACGATGAGGCGCGTACTCCCAACTCCAACCACCGGTAGAGATTCGTTGTTTCCGAACACGATGCTCGTGACGTCTCCCGGAGCGCCAATGTTGTTGAGGAGCGACGCCGAGTGCGTCATGTGTTGCGTTGCGCCGGTATCGAGGAACCACGCGTCGCTTGGAGTTTTGTTCCCGTTGCGAGCTATAGCTGGAAACGTGAAGACTATGCTCTATGTTGAAGGATAGGAATCTCTGGATTTTGTGTCGAGTAGAACTGTGTATAGAAAACTCTGATTTTCAGTATATCATGCATACAAAGCAATCACAATATATAGCTACTCAAAACATCGAGTCGCGCATGTAACATACGAGATGCATCGAGAACATTCGCGTAACAATTCGAAGGGGTGAAATTCGGCACCCGAATTTCACCGAACCGAATTCTTCCTTAGTCTCGATCCTTCTTGTGTTGCCATGTGGCACCAATTGAGTGGGTCTTCCGAAGTCAACCCACACACTTCGTGAAACCTGCAGCTCTCTCAAGCGGTGAGCACCGAAACACATTCGGTGGGTTGGGGGCATATCAATTGCCCCACCACCGTTTGCTTCTAACTCACGCGACCTCCAACAATAATCACCACCGCCGTTGCCGCCACCATTGCTACCACACGTGCTTCTCGGGTCCCTGATACATGGGTCCTCTTCTTCAGATCCGCCACTGTAATCGTTACTCTCAAAAAGTTCACTGTGTGCTCCTGAGGTGGTGGCCACTGGCATTGAGTGCGCAGCTCTTCCAGCCAATGAGTGTGCAGCCCTGGCGTTGCTGCGACCAGCGTTCTCAGTAGCGCCATTCCTCCTGTGTGCAATGACCACGTCTGCGTCGGCTGCCCTGTGAAAGCCCTCGTGGCCACTCCTGGTGTTGCCCCGTGATGCCGTCTGCCTGGAATGCTGCTGGCTGCCTCGGTGAGCGGACCTTCCACCATGGTTTCCGCCGTTTCCGCCGTGATGACTAGCAGCAGCAGCACCGTGACTTCCCAGCGTTCTCCATTGCGTCGCATCAGTGCGGCTGGACCCGCCGGCTGCGGCGGCTCGCGGGGCGTCACGGGGACGACCGCCGCGGCGCTCATGAAGCGCCACGTCGTCGCTGCTCGCCGCGCGGAAATTTCCGCGACTTGTCGCACCGCCACCACCCCCTGCTGCCCTGCCGCGACTCCCGCCGTGATTCACGCCAGCAGGACCGTTTCCAGCGGCCCGATTTCCGTCCATGCCGCTTCCGCCGAGAGAGACGCCCGTGCGGGAGTTTTGAGGGCGGCTCGCCACACGTACCAAAGAGCCCGAGGCTCCGCGCTGCTCGTGGTGGTCCTGGAGGCTCTGAGCCCCGCCCTGGCGACTGTTAGCAGGACGAGTGCTAACACCAGCGCCGAAAACCAGCGGCTCGCCGGTAACCCGGGTTCTAGCTTTCCCGGTGACTTGCAAAGCGGCGTGTGGCGTATTCCCATTCTTGGATGCGGCGGTTTTCCATGTCACTGCGTCGTCGTTGTTTTCCGCGACGAGTGGGCGGACCGGCGAGCCAGTATTAGTCAGAGCGCGGCGGGAAGTGGGGAAGTGAGCAGAGCAGCTGTTCGCGAGAACGAACAAGAGAAGCGGAGCGACGAAGAGATTTTGAGTCACCATTCTCGCCGTGCAACCCGATGATGATTTCATCAGCGAGGTTCTTGTAATGTTTTGTAACGTGCTGCGAGAGGGTGTTGGTGTTGGAGAGACTGGGGGGACTGCTGACAAGCTGCAAACTTCGATGTTGGTGAAGAGGAATGAACGAGTGGCTTTTGTATTCAGGAATGCGGCTCGGTAGTTGAGAGTGCGAGCCGAGCCGCAGTCCCATTTCTGACTTTCGAGTGGCGTGAGGCACACTGGAAAGCAGGGTTCGAAATATGTGGCAAAAAATCCTTCGAAACCTCGAGTATGTTCAAAAAACAAAATCAGCTACCGAAAATTCTGGCTAATCAGCTTGAGCCTCCGCAGTGCCCTCGCTCTAGAAAAACCTATCCAAACAGAGTAATTACCTTAACCAGTTAATGGAGTTGTACAGTTTCGAAGTCTTCCCAAGTCAACTGGTCTGAAACTTTCGTGCACATTTTCTGTTGTGATAATGACATAGTGGCAAACTTGTGCAGTGAATATGGCGGAAAGCGCAATGAATACGAAGCTTTGATTTTGGTACCCATCTACCCTCATATTGGTTTTGGGAAAGTCTGGAAAAGTTTACTTGGCATGCAAATTCATGCTGAAAATAAGAGAAGAATTAAAAATAAACATCGTAGACTACAAATGTCATCGGTTTCCTTGTGTATTCAAAAAAATATATGGACAACGCGTGCAAAAACGTTCACATTAAGGTTTTGCAAAAGTAAACCTTACAAAGAGCATAGCTTCCATTCATTTATATGCATTACATGAGCAGTCAGAGGTGCATGTCTTCCAGCAGCTGCTCAAACTCCTCCCAGCGCATACCCTGCTGAATGTACTCCATGCGAGCAGGGTTGAATGGGCCCCTCACTCGATCCACTGAGCTTATCACAGCAGAGGCGGGCAATACCGGGTCTGAGGGGTCTGAGGGCGTGGGCAGCACCAGCGACGAGGAGAAACCCTGGGAGGGGATGGGGTTGTGGGCGAGGGGGGCAGAGAGAGGGGGAAGAGATTATGGGGGGTGGAGGGAGGGAGCGAATGGTGGGGTTGTGCTCAGCTGTGGGTCTGAGGGGCCAGATGGCGTGGGCAGCAGCACCAGACAGGAGGAGAGGTCCTGGGGGAGCTGAAATGAGAGCTGCAGTGGGTTGATGGTTAGTGTAAGAGCGGATGGGGCAGTGTGGCAGGGTGAGCAGAGAGGATGGTGGTAAGTGCGAGAGGCGAGTGAATGCGGCACAGGGTGAGCAGAGAGGAGGGTGGTAAGTGTTGAAATTAGGTTTTCGTAAGCCATGGCTAGCGAGAAAAAGTTGCATTCGATAGAACTGAGTACAATGTCATAGAGTTGGTTGGGAAACCCCAACTGAAACTAGGGTGCGTTCAGTCTAGGAACAAACTCCTGAACCTGAAATGAAACTAGTCTAAAACTGGCCGAAAAGAAATGTAAGGCCAGAATAAAATACAGAGCGAAGACTAGCCTACTCCAACAGTAAGTGCGAGAGGCGAGTGAATGGGGCACAGGATGAGCAGAGAGGAGGGTGGTAAGTGCGAGAGAGGAGGGTGGTACGTGCGTGAGACGAGTGAATGGGGCACAGGGTGAGCAGAGAGGAGGAATGGGAGTGGCGGCTGGGTGTTGGGAATCCTGAGCGAACGGAATTGGGAAATTTGCAGATTCGAAGCAAATCCGGAATTGGGAATGCGACAAACGCTCTGTTGCCAACAAATATAAAGCTAACTGCCCGCTTGTTGCCTCAAGTGCTGATGAGTGGCAGCGGTGTAGTGCTGATGAGTGGCAGTGGTGTAGTGCTGATGAGTGGCAGCGGTGTAGTGCTGATGAGTGGTAAGCAGGGGCGTGAGTCACCCTGACGACAACGACCTGGTCCATTCCCCCGTGCACCTGTGCTTTGAGCACCCGTCAGTGGTAAGCGCATAGTAGTGCTGGTGCTGTCACCCTGCCTGAAGGTAAGCAGTGTGTGGTAAGCGTATAGTGCTGGTGGTGTCAAGCTGAGGGTAAGCAGTGAGTGGTAAGCACATAGTGCTGGTGTCACTCCTCGTCGTCCTCTTTTAGAAGGGCGTCACCCTGAAGACGACCACCTGGTCCTCCTCTCCATCCACCAGTGCGGTGAGCACCTGGGAGTGGTAACTGCATAGTGCTGGTGGTGTCACCCTGCGGGTAAGTGGTGAGTGGCAAGTGTGGGTGTCACTCACCCTGAAGACGACCACCTCGTCTTCCTCCCCATCCACCAGTGCGTTGAGCACCACCACCTCCGCCGGCACCTGCCGCAGTGATGCATGCGATGACATGCCAACACATATCAGGATTCATATTGAGACACACACTTGATCATCCACCTGTGTGCGCAGTGATGCATGCGATGCATGCGTGCATGTGATGCATGCGTGAACGTGACGCATGTTATATATGTATGCACGCAATGTATGTGTGCAGGTGATCAATGTATGCGTGCATGCGATGCGTGTGATGCATGTGTGCATATGCAGACATGCCAACACGCATTCGGATTCCCATTAAAACACACACTTGAACATCCACCTCCACGTCGAGCAGCACAACCTCCCCCTTCTCCTGGCACAGTGATGCATGTGTGCATGCATATATTCAGACACACGCCCACACACATGCGAGCTCACATTCACACACGCTCAGACACACAGTGATCCATGCACGCTCGCACATGAACACACATACACATGACACGAGAACAGCACGAGTACGGCTCTGATAAGCATGGTGTCCGCATAGAAATGCTCACAGAATCTGTACGGCTCACGGCTCACAGAATCTGTACGGCTCACAACATCTTACGGCTCACAGCATCTTACGGCTCACAAATAGCTCAACCATCTGCACCCAGCAGCACCGTTCCCATACCCCCTAAAATCGTAATACCTCCACTACCAGGCTGTCACAGGTCCTCTCCGCAATGCTTTAGGCCCCCAGTCCACAGGTACTAAGTCTACTCGGTAACGCTATGGTGTGCTTTCCGCGTTCGCAACGCTTTCCACGAGTCTACCCTGCCGTTACTACCGTTCCCCTGGCCCTGCTTAGTCTACCCGTCACCTACTCTCTCGGTGTACTGCTCCACGCGTCTTATATCGAATCCGCGGGACTCGCTACTGGTCGGCGCGACGCCGCCGCCGTCGCCATCATGTGTCGCACGGAGCACCGTCGCCGACAATCCCCATCGCGTTCCAGGGTTCGCGGATGGTGCGTCGACTCTCGCAGCGCAAGAACGAATAGGTACAGCCGTTCGCTGCGCGCGCGATTCGACGGGAAGGAAATTCGTAGCGCGTGATCTGGGGAGGACTGGGGTGCTGGTGGGGGCTGCGCATGCGAGGGGGGAAGCGGGTGCATTGCGAGGCTGATGACGGGCGCGGGGCGCGAGGAAGGCGGTGGGGGCGGGATGTAATTGAGCAGCAGACATCTTGCGACGAAAAAAATAACCTTTTCCCCAGGGGAACGTGGAGTCTGCTGGTGGTGTATGTGCAAGAATGATGTGGTGAGGGAAAGTGGCAGTCTTATGAATGAACTAATAAGGTGTCTCATGTCACTGGTCCGCCCCGACCTGGTCCGTTGCTAATTTGTGCATGTCGGGTCCGCAATTCTGGTCCGACGGACCTACTTCGCGGACCAGCCGTGACCAGACACGAGCTGGTCTACATGATACATCGCTTCAAGGGCTGTACAGTATTTGCGAAAATAAACACGAACGACGCGAATCAGTCATGTTGAAATCGAGTTACCTTTTACCTTTTGCTGGTAAAAACTCCCCATCCCGTCAGGAGCGACAGTCACGAATGGCGAGAGATTTCGCAAACAAAGTGAGAGCTGCTACAGTTACGGACCAGGCGCGGGCTGGTCTGGCGACCAAATCAATGGCACCGATGTAGTGCCATTCGAACGTGGTTAAAAGTCCCGCATCTCGGTCCAGTCCGTCGCTGGTTCACAGGGTGGTTCTAGAGCTGGTCCGCGGGGTCCGCGTCAGACTCACGTGGACCCGCAAAATTGAGACACGTCCTAAGCAAGTGCGCGGAATTAGTGGGAAAACAGTTTAGGGTGTTGGAGAATCGAGTTTCTGCCGCCCCAGCCCTTTGCACACAAGCAGCAGCAAGGGGGAATGTCGGCGATGAATCAGAGGCTTCGGGAAGTACTTCGAAAGTTCCACCACCAATCAGATTTCAGCCGAAGACTCGATACAGTTCACAGCTGCCTTCAAACCGAAGTGTTGGCAGTTTCTACAGGTTTCTACACATCAGATTCAGCTATAACAGAAATATCCAGAGTTTTCTTATTCATGCACCTCATGTGGCACTCAAAGTCACTCAAGGTCCATCCAATCTAGATTGTGCCCAAGTTACCAGGGAAGTTACATTGTCTATCAACCTACCTAGTTTGAGCTTTCAATCTGTCTTGTTTGTGATGCCTATAGAGTTGTGCTTTAGTGGGCTTGTTAATCTTGAACATAGTGAAGTTTTACCTCATCTAGTCAATTCCAGCAGCCCTGCTAAGACTTTCCAGCCAAGTTTCTAGCCCTCCAGTAGTCACAGCTACTCTGTTTTACAAGTTGGTACCAGAGCTCGTCGTTTCGATCAACCTAGCCCACCACGTTCCTATCCTAGCACCATACGAACATGGCGGGAGACAATCCATCTGGTCCTGCACTCCAGCCAGCCGGAGGAGCTTCAGAGTCAACATCAGCAGCTACTGGATTAGTGGAAGCAGTTGCACCAGGCAGTCCTTCAACAACATACTCACCACTCACCTCCTTCATGCCTAAGCTTCACCTCCCCAAGTTCAACGGCAAAGATTTTCCAACATGGGCAACTCAGTTTGAGCTCACTGCATCCCTTCTGGATCTGTGGCCTTACTACACTGGAGAAGCAGCCAAACCAGCAGCAGATGCTTCAGAAGCTGAAAAACGACTTTACGAATGACGCAACAAGGAGGCCTTCCTCTACCTACTCAATAGCATTCACGAGCAGCAGTTGAAGTCGCTCCTGCCCTGTTCTACCAAGGCAAACAGTGCAGAGGAAGCATGGAGCCGACTGAAGACTATGCACCAGTCAAAATCCGAGAGCAGCCAAGCCGAGATGTGGAGCCGCTTCATGAATCTGAAGATGGAAGAAGATGAATCAGCACAAGCCTACCTACAACGAGCTGAAGCAATGTTGGAGGAAGCAGCAGCGATCGGCTTGGAGATTCCAGAGTCTCTTTTCAAGACCGTCATCCTCACTGGCCTTACACCGGAGTGGGACACTTTCCGTGCAACACTACAAGCGCTCCCGCAGTCAATGAAGAGTCGTGCGTTCATCTTTGAGGCCAACGAGCAGCAGAGTCGAGACCTTGCACGGAACAAGCGGAGTGACGAAGGTGCGTGGAGTGCTGCAGCAGCCACAAGATATGGCAACCAATTCCAGAGGCAAGGAAATTTCAGCCCAAACCGCCCTCAACCCTACTACGGTACGAAATTTCAGTCACCTTCCAACCCATACAAACCCTCTCGTTTTCCTCAGTCAAGTCCTCCCTATAAGTCCAGTCCCTATGTCCAGCCAAGGCCTTCGATTCCCAATCAATACCAGCCTAGGAATGCAAGAGTCAATACGCCAAGAGTCAATAATTTCAGCCAAGCCCCGAATGCTAAAAAGTTTAATTTTGAGTGTTTTTGTTGTCATGAGTGGGGTCACCCGTGGTATGCTTGTCCTAAGAAGCCTCCTAATTGGGTCCCCCCACCTCAGCTACTATCTGAAAAAGGTAAGGCAGCCATAGCAAATATAGTAAGCCATTCTACAAGTCAAGATGAGTCCAAAGAGTCCGATGGTCCTGTCCTTTTTAACGCTGCTACTTGCATGCACGTTTTCTCTACTAGTAGTGAGGAGTTTATTCTTGATAGTGGCTGCTCTGAAACCATGACTCCCTATCAATCCATTCTCAAGGATTTTCAGCCCTCAAATGACTCAAAAGCTGTGACTCTTGCTGATCTTGGCAAAGTACCAATCAAAGGAGTCGGCAAGCTTGAGTTCGAAAAGGATGGTAAGTCATTTTGTGTCAATAAAGCTTTGTTTGTTCCTGATTTGGGAGCAAACTTGCTCTCAGCCGGACAACTCGAAGAGAAAGGTGCCTCCGTTCTCTTGCAAGGGGGGAAAGCCAAAGTGTGGGACAGTGCAGGAAATCTGGTGGCTGAAGGCGAGCGTACCGGGCGGCTCTACAAGATGAAGTTGGAGATTAAGCGCGGTGCTAGCAACACGAAGAACGACGTTGTCTCGCTTCCCGCTGTTTCAACCGATCAAGTCAACAACAAAGGGAGTATCTCCCAAGCTGAGGTATGGCATGCACGCTTGGGGCACGTGGGAGTGCAAGCATTGAAAGAGTTGGTAAATCACAAGAGCGTGGAAGGATTGAGTTTGAGTGAAAGTGCAGTCAAGTCCCTTTCTTCCGTTCCATGTCCATCTTGTGTGGAAGGTAAGCTAGCTAGAAAGCCATTCTTCCCTTATAAGTCTCAGTCAAGGGACCTCCTAGAGTTGGTCCACACTGATGTCTTCGGCCCCATGCGAGACCCTACTCGAAACGGTAAGAGATATTTGGTGTCTTTCATTGATGACAAGAGTCGTTTCTCGTGGTCCTTTTTCATCAACACCAAGGATGAAGTTCACAAGTGTTTCAAGCAATGGCTAGCACTTGTTGAGAGAGAGTCAGGGAAGAAGTTACTCACCTTGAGGCCGGATCGAGGAGGTGAGTACATGGGGAAAGCGTTTCAGGGGGAGTTGTTGGCATTGGGCATCAAACAACAGTTCACTTGTCCCTATAGTCCTCAGCAAAATGGAGTGGCAGAGAGGTTTCATCGCACTATCCAGGCTATAGCTACCACTTTCCTTCAGTTCAAAGGCCTTGACAAGCTCTGGTGGGGTGAGGCAATCACTATGGCAATTTATGTTCGCAATAGGAGACCCACAAGGCCCTTACCGGATGGTGTAACGCCATATGAGGCTTGGTTTGGAGTTAAACCAGATCTGTCTATGCTTCGTATTTTTGGTTCCATGGCCCAATACCGTGTTCCAGATGCAAAGAGACTCAAGCTGGACAGCAAAGCTCATTGGGGCCTCTTCATCGGCATGAGCAATGAGAGCAAGGGATGGGTCCTTTGGGATCCTGTCACCAAGTGAGAAGTGGTTTCAAGGGATGTTGTCTTCTATGAAGACATGTCCCTTGCAGGTTGGCATAAGTTTTCCTCTTCCTCCTCTCTACCCTCTATCCAACAGGAACCAGCAAGCGCACCTGAGGAAACAACACAAGAGGAGGAAGAAGATGACACCGATTCTGACCATAGCGGACCGATCATCGATCTCCCTCAAGCCGTCGTCAACGAGTCCAGCCGTGCCACGCCAGTGCCACCAGCAGCTACTCAACCAAGTGGAGATGAAGTTCAGCCATCAAATGAAGACAATCCACCGCAGCAAGTCACCGTTCCATCACCACCAAAGGAGCAGCAGCCAACAGTCACAAACCAGCCAGCTATATCAACACCAACCTCACAATTTCAACGCCAACCGGATCAGCCCACCACTACGCCATCAAACCCATCACCAGCCATCACTCCAGAGGCAACTACAGAAGCTCATCATCATCCCATGCAGCAGCAATCAACAGCTACAAGACCCCAAGTACCTACATCAACACCATCTACGACTCTTCCTAGCAACAAGTCAACCGTCACCGCAACACCTCGTTCTCATACCACACGTTCATCACTTGTTCCAACGTCAAGCCAGCTCATAGCACGAGGATCACTTCAGCGAGTCACCACCAACACCAGCTCCAACAGTCCACTTCTTCACCCAAGACCTTTCTCAACTTCACCCCCACGTCCCGGATTCGGTCGTCATCAGTTACCACCATCTTCAACACCGAGCAACAACACCAACCAGCCCCAACCATCACCACCTCTCGACAAGGCAGCGTCATCATCAATTCCCAAGCTTCTAGTCTCAAGATCCCCACCAAGAGCATCTTCACAACCAACTATGCCGACAAACGTTTCAGCTTCACCGCCACGAGTCACCATACCTAATCCTCAAGTCAACACCGATAATCAAGATATTTCCACGCCAGGAGAAGAACAAGCAGCCGTGCCGCCGTCGCAGCCGATGTCGCAACCGTTGTCTCAGCCGCAAATGACCGCATCAACGCAATCAAACACTGTGAGACCGAACCCTACCACTAATGTGTCTCAGCCAAGTGAGGAGTTTGGTAAAGGTAAACGAGTCCGCAAGGTAAAAAAGCCCTTCACTTTCATGGTTGACATGTCATCAAGGTGCACATGTGAGGAGAGTGAGAATTGCATTCACAAGAAGGTAGAGGCAATATGCATGGCAGCATCACACCTTCCGCGAGAGCCCTTGAGTCGTCGTGAGGCAATGGCAAGTCCCG